CTATGGCGATAAATACGCTGAAGTGCCTGGGAATCGATCCCTTGAAATCGGTCTCCCTCTCACTTTTCCCTCCCATGCAGAGCCTGTCAACCATGCAATCTTGGGACTAGGTGCGATGATTGACAAAGCTCGAAAATCCGTCACGCTTGTCCCCCACGATCTGGTTCCCACAAAGCGCAGTGGCGCGGTCATACCTTCATTATCAAGTAGCAGTCATCGGCATAGACGAAACGTATTTTAATAACAATGCTAATAATAATATTTGTACAGTAGGTGAACTAACTCATGAAATGTCAACGGAAATTCCGAAATTCGTTTTCATTTCGAAAAAGTACTTAAGTAGGTTTGTAAAACTAATCAGCCTGCAGCATAATTCTATAATATATCAATTACCTCAGGATGCCGGCTTTCGAATAAACTTCCTTATGGCTGCATGCAAAAACACACTCTGTGAAAAATGACTACTTACGTAGCGTGAAGTTTTCTCATTGATTTTCGATGCCCCTCAAAGTCCAATTATATTTCATATAAAACAAGCTTAAAATATTCATCCTTTTGCTCGTTCGGTAGATAATTACTTTTCTCCCAACCTTGTAATCGAAGGAAGGGTATAATTCGGTTTTCAAAACCTTCCAATTGCCGAATAATTGTGAACACTCTCTACCGTTACACTTGGATTCAGGGTTTCCAAACTAAAAGCCGTGTATTTTCCGCGTATGGAAAACCACACATTTCTCTACGGTACTAAAGAGAGACCATGTAGGGCTCAAAAAATTAAGCAGTGGATTTGATCCATATTGTTAACTTTACAAGTAACTTTGGTAAATGCAGAAGCATGACGATTTATGAACGGGCACTTCAAGGTATTTAAAAGTCCCAGAATTAGAAACTTTCTTAAAAGCGGATCATGTACCTCCTACGAGTATAAAATTAGAAGAAGACGTAATTATCTACCGAGTGAGCAAAAGAATGAATGTGTTTTCCATAATATATAATTGGACGTAAGTGGTCATTTTTTGTAGAGTGTAGATTTGCATGCAGCCATAAGGAAGTTCATTCGAAAACCGACATCCTGAGGTAACTGAAATATTATAGAAATATGTTGCATGCTGATTAGTTGTTCAACCCTACTTAATAAATCTTTTCGAAACGACAACGCATTTCGGAATTTCGGTTGGCATTTCATGAGTCAGCCCACCTACTGTATTTAGAGCTATTTTACAGCATTTTAAAAATAGATTCCGTTCGGATCGAACTAACAGTGAAAGAAAAATCCTGAAGAAAACACATGGTGGTTGTGTCCTGGGGTAGGTAAGCAATTCAGGTATGGTTAACGCTGCACCAGTCTCCAGTTCTTTTTCAGGCACTAGACAGGGTGCATGGCTGAACAGCTGATCTATGGGTTGCGGACTGCCCCATTTCTCACCGGGCAGAGGGGTCAGAGGCCACAAACTCCATCACGACGGAAGATTAACTCAGAGGGTTCAACATCCAAAACTGTGAAGTTTTCGTGAGTGCAGAAAGTGAGTGATAGTTCTTTTAGGCAAATAAAACTTTACAGATATTAGCAAGCCTAGGACAAGGCGCCACATTGACGTCTTTTGGTAAAACTGGAAGGCCTTGGCTTTCGACCTCTTCTAGTCCACTTCGTCGGGTCCTACCCATCCAACCGCATCTAGGCGTACCCCCATACTCCCGGGACGGGAGAGGATGTATGTGTATTGTGCGGTCGAGCCTGCACCTGGGCGTACCACCATGCCCCCTGGTCTGCGCAACCACTGACCAGGATTTTAATTAACAACAACATCACTACCGCAAAAAGATTGATCAAGAAAAGACCAGATTCTGTGAGTTCATGGGCGAGATCAGTACCAATCTGGTCCTGCAGAGGGTGACTGAACAAGCCCGCGAACAGAGTGATACGCGATGCAGCACTGGAGAACAAATTCCGAAAGCTGCCCAATCAAACGTCGCCCAGAAATGACAAACGGGTGCACAACCTGTCGAAAAAGGAGCAAATGCAGGTTTTTCGGCATGAAGCCTCATTTAAACACTGCTGACGCCAAACCTGTCAACACGATTTCAGCAGTGAAATCCATCCTTAGTCAGACGGAGGCGACGGAGGAGACTAAGAGCCTCATTCGACACCAAGTGTCGTCTCCCCTAATGGCCCACAGGCCGCGGGAAGTGCTTTCCATGGTCGAACATAATGCGCTTAGAGAACTCAAGGCCGACAAAGACCCGGTCATCGTGCCAGCGGACAAAGGGCGCGCCACGGTTGCACTGGACAGGACAGACTACCTTCAAAAAGCCAGAGGTTTACTGGAGGACCGACAGTTCTATGTCCCATGTGCAACTAACCCTTTAAAATCGCTGAGACGCGAAATTAATGCTACGTTTTTGTCCTTGGAGAACTCAGGTGCAATAACACCGATCGACAGGCGCATGGCGAGACCCCAAGATACGGCTTTGGCCCGATTCTATGGCCTCCCTAAAGTGCACAAAGACGGCGCTCCTCTCCGACCCATCGTATCGCTCAAAGGGACTCCAACGTACGGACTGGCTAAGTGGCTGTTCCGGTGTCTCAAGTTCCTGACCGCTGAGTCAGACACCACGGCCTCTTCGCCAGCAAAATTCCTGGAGAAACTCAAAGGGGTAGGCCTCCATCCAAATGAGGTCATGATATCTTTTGATGTTACATCCCTTTATACTTCTACTCACCAGGACTTGGTGATCGAGACAATCAAGCCGCTTCTACAAAGCAAATACGATGAAACGGAGAACCGTCTTGGACACGCCCAAGCTCTTCAGCTCCTGTCTCAGGACGTACTTCACGTTCGACGGGACAATCTACGAACGGGTAAAGGGCACACCAGTGGGTTCGTCGATTTCGGTTAGAGTCACTGGTCTTCCAACACCACAGACCAAAGTTCTGGACCCGGTATGTGGACGATATCTTCGTCGTCCTCGAACGGGATCAGGTGCTGACATTCAAAGAACATCCCAACGCCATCTTCCTGGACATTCAATTTACGATGGAGGAGGAAGAGAACAAGCAGCTGGCCCTCCTGGATGTCCTCGTATGCCGCAAGGATTGTGGTGGACTAAAGATCAAAGTGTTCAGGAAAGCGACAAATACGATGCAAGTACTGAACTTCAACAGCAACAACCCAGTCAGCCACAAACGCAGTTGTGTAAGGACGCTCTATCGTCGTGTCGCAACGCACTGCAGTGAACCGGAAGACAAGATTGCTGAACAACAATACCTCCAATGGGTCAAGAAAGTCAATGGCTATCCACGCAACTTCGTCAGCCGGTGCATGCGCAAACTAGACGAGTGACAAAATCGTACCGATTCCCAATTCTGGCGGGCGATCCCGTACATCACGAACGTCTCCCATACCGTTGGTCGCCTTCTCGCAGCATTTTGGGTGGGGGTTGAACACAGACCGGAGGCAGCCGTCAGGCGTCTGGTAATGAAACCGAAAGACCCGCGGCAACGGCTAGAAACGCCTGGAGTCGTTTATCGGATCTGCTGCGGTTATGGACAAAGCGACTACGTCGGAGAAACCGGAAGACAACTACGGACGACAATGGCCGAACACCGCTGCAGCCATGCAAAGAAATGACGCCAGCTCTCAAGTTGCGGCTCAGTTGACGAGATCCGGCCACACATTTAAATTTAACGAGGCCGAAATTCTCGCAATAGGTGACAAGCACGTGAGCCGGGAGCTACTTGAATCATGGTTTAGTGGCCTCCAGTCCATTAACAAGTGCAATGATCTTCCCCTTCCATACTCGGTGATGAGACTTCGCTTAGCCATGCGGGGGGCGCACAGGTGAACACTTTTCCCAACACTAGAGTCTGTGCGTTAGATGGTCGAGCAATCATCACAGCAACATTCAACGCACGTGATGAAATTGCAGCAATTAACGGCGCAAATTTTGGCCCTCAGCCAGTCATTACACCACGTGCAACGATCCCTGATGAAGGGGGGGCCGTGAATGTTCAGAGGTATGCAGTAGCATGGCAACTGCATCCTATAAACACTGCAGCCCCTTGTGCGTGAATCACCCCTATCTGCTGTTGTCTCCGATGATGGATTCGAGCAGGAATCCGAAACGTCAGGCTAATAAAGCCTGCCGTCCCAGTGATCGTGTCCCCTTCTTCAAGACTAACTCCTAACCCCCAACTCCTGACTCTAACGCCTGACACTAACCCCTGGAGCTAATCACTAACCCAAGCTCTAACCCCTTACATTAACCCCTAGCCATAACCCTAACCACTAATAATAACTCCTTACCCCAACCCCAACTCCTAACACCAACCCCTAACAGATGGGGCTGCTAAATAAGATCTTACCCGACCGGTTATATAAGCATTTCCTCTCTCCATATTCGATGGCGCGTTTTCAGTGCATAAGATCAACTGTTTCCTCCCAATTAAAAAGTAATGGCAACATACGCACTTAGTCCGGTTGTGGGTAGTTGACGTTTGGTGATATCCCAACGGAAGCTACAAAACCACAAAACGGAGCCCTCCGATTGGACATTGAATGAACTTAATGTTTTGCGAGCAAAAGGATACTTTTGAAGAAGTGTTCCCCGAAGTTTCAAACCCAAGCCCACAGCTTCACTTTCACTTAAAATTTCAAAAGTCCATGCTTCGCCCTTGTCACGTAAGAAGAATCATACATTTTCTACGTTATCATGAAGATGTCATATAGGAATCCTTAAATTTTGCAATGTATACGTACCTTATTGCATACTTCGTAATCAGTATTAGTGAGTGTACTGGTGTGATGATGCATGAGTGGACATCTCATGGTCTCAAAAATCCCATAGTTTTCAAATCCTTGAAACATAAAGATACTCTTTCCTCAAGCATTATATTTTAAGAAACACTGATCTTCTACTAAAGGAGTACACGAACAAAACATTTATGTTCATGTCTTCTGTAAGATATATTTGAACTGATAAATGCATCGAAAATCGATGTGAAGAACCCATAGTTCAGAAGAAGTCCTTTTTTGCCGAATGTGATTTTTTGCAGGCTGCCAGAAAGAAGCTCACTCAACGGCCGGCATCTAGTATTGATGGAAATATTTGGGAATTATGTTGCTCGATGATCAATACCACAAGCCCCAACGAGGTAATCCTTTTTAAGCGAAAACACATTTCGGAATTTCAGTCAAAATTTCATGAGGTAGCCCACCTATGTACTGTAGTTTTAACACTGTTTTCCCCAATTTACGTTAAGACCAGGTTACGAAGAGTGGCGCGATGATAAATCCTACGAAGCACTTTTTACAGACAGGTGCAAATTGACTAATCGTTTAAAAGTCGTTGACGGAGTTTTCAACGGGTAGACACCTAACGATTTTCTTCCGATGAGGGGACAAATCTGGCAGTTTTTATATAAAATGGAAGCAGCATACTTTAGTGTCCACGAGAGAGGGAGAAAGCTCAGGCAAGCACAAAAATGCCCTAGGCCCTTCATGGGCTATTAATTTGAATTCTGGTTTGCTTGCGCAACTGATATGACGTTATTTTGACGGAAGGCATTGGATAAATTTGCAGCCAATAGGGAAGTTCTGATTTCACTAGCAGAGACTGAGTTGCATCAGAAGTCTAACGGGGAGTCTGGGGCCACACCGATGAGGCGAAGTTTCTCATTTACCTCGGGAAACAGCAAAAATCGATGAGTCAGAAAATTTAGCCAATAACTGCGTTCAGGGTATGGTGAATACTGCGGGGACGTAGGTAGTCTGCCACATTTGGATGAAAAGAATGCATACAGTAGGAATGTGGGAATTTTATAAATTAACAAGCTTTTAAGGAGTACCGGCGCCGCCGTCCGTTTTGAAGGCTTTTATAGACATTAGCTTTCCTGATAGCTGACACTAACGGTTACAATGCCAGTACCCCGATTTGAACGCCTGAAACACATGCCACAATCATCCAATTTTGATTGGTCGCCTTGTTATTAGTAATCAGCACTTCCACGTGCGCACGGGACTTCCACTTTGCAGCCAAACTGCTAACACGTCAAGAGAACTGCGCGAGCAGCATACTTTCATTTAATTGGCGGGTTTCCGCTTTCGCCCTAATTACCCAATCAGCGGCCAGCACGCAACCTTGACGAAGGCATTCCTGCGTTGCACCATAAAAGAGGTGGCTCATTTATAACGGTAAGCAGTAGACTTACCTGCGTGGCTGAGTACCTTCCTTCTCAATCGTTGACTATCTCTAAAATCGGCACTTCGCAAACACATCTTCTGAAGTAAAATGCCATCTGACGAGGTTAGCTATTCTGACATTTCACTAGCGTCTCTAGGGTGAGGATAAAATTGTAGTGTTGGGTCAATCAGGGGATGGGGAAAACTGGTATATGCGCACTTACAATCCCGACTGCGATGACAGTGAAACTCTGGGACAAATGAGACAGTGTTCGCGTACAGCCTTTGTGGCTATCAAGGGTAGGAACTATGTTTTTGCACGTTTTACTTGCAATTTATATAACAGTCAAACCAAAACGCGAGTGCTCCCGTACACGATGCAATAAATTATGAAATGAGCTCAGTCGCTAAAACAAGAGAATTATGATCCTACCGTTTCGGACTCATGCTCTCTCCCTTTAGCTGATAGCGGGTTCGAGCATTTATCTGAAAAGTCAGGTTTTTGGTCCGAGTAGAATGAGATTATTTTGAAGTCGGGGGCTGTATTCTGTTGCTTCTCATATTTTTCTCTCCACTCCTCCTCCTCCTCCTCCTGAAAAAGGGAGCGTGTTCGCC